AATAATATATAAAATAAAAGAATAAGCTTTTTTTAATTAAAATTTAAAAAATTTAAAAAGAAATAACTAATAAAAACCGTTTATTATTAAATATTATTTTATATAAAAAGCTTACCGGAAATTGGAAAATAATTATAATTTTATATTTAGTAAATTAATTATAATAGCTTGTATTTTTATAGCTAAAGAAAGCAATTTACTAAGAATTTAAAAAATATTAGATTAGCCTAAATATATAAATAAAGCATATTTTAATACTAATAAAATTATATTTATTAAAAAGAATTATTTAGAAAAAGCTAATAATTTAAAAGCTAATAATTTAAAAGCTAATAATTTAAAAGCTAATAATTTAAAAGTAAATAAGAAAAATATTAATTTCTATTTATTACTTAATAAGAAATATAATATTAATAAATTAAGAAAAGCCTAATTCTAAATATAAAAATAGCCTTTTAAAATAAAAGCTTTATTAAAAACCTATAAATCTTATTTAACTTATTAATAAAAACTGGTTTTTTATTAAATATAAAATATATTAAAAAATAAACTATAACTTTTTAATATTTAATATATACTAAAGTAAATATATATATTTCAATTAATTAAAAAGATATTTTCTCTTTAATAAAAGTACTTTAAATACTTTTTATAAACTTAAAACTTTTTTTTTTTTATAGGATTTTAATTAATAATCTAGAAAAGTTATTTAATATATAATTATAATAAATCTAAACTTTATAATATTTATTTATTACTAATTTTAGCTTTTATAATATATAGATATTCGAATATTTTTAAAATAACGAATTTAAGCTTCTAGCTTTTTTAAATCTTTTCTTTATTATATTTCTGCTTTTAATTTAATAATATAATAATAAACTATTACTAGCTTTTTATTATTATTATTTTACTAGCTAGTTTTAATAATATCTAAGTTCTATTTCTTTTTTCTAATTAGATAATATTAAAAATATCTAATTAGGCGCTTTTCTAAATATTTAATTAAATAGCTCTAATAATAATAAAAGTATTTCTTCTAGTTAATATTCTAGTAATTAGTAATTTGATTTATTAATAGCTTAATTACTTTATAATAATAAAATAATATATAAGTATATTATAAAATAATACTTATATATATAACTAATTTCCAAGAGTTAGTTCTAATAAAAGACTAATTAATACCTCTTTTTAAAACTAGAAGCATTTCCCTATATATTTCCTAGTATTTAGCCAAGTATTAAAGCCCTTTATTTAATTAGAAAATGGAATTTTATATAATTTATATAATTTCAATATAAGCTTTATCTAAAATAGAAAACTAGATTTATAATATCTAATATTTATTTATATATTATTATATTTATCTATTATATTCTTTTTTTCTTGCTTTAAATTAGTTCTTTTCTTACTTATATAAATTTATAAAATAAGAAATATTATAATTATTTTTAATAAAAGCTTTTAAAATATCTTGAATTACTAAGTTTAATATATAAGCTATATAAGAAATATTTTCTTGAAATTTAATGCCTTTTTTATTATAATACTTTATAAAAGCTTATAATAAAATATTATTTAAACTTGTATTATCTCGAATAATATTAAATAAAATATATTAGTAATTTTTTTATAAAAGAAAACCAAGATTTATATTATTTATCTAATAATAATATATTTAATATTATAGGCTTTTAAAACTTTTAATAAAACCAAATTTATATATTTACTATTATAAATCTTTTATAGCTAATAAATAAGATTTCAATTTAAAATACTTATTTATAAAATATCTAAGAATTAAATTAATAAATAATTATATTAATTATTATTAATAAGAATAGCTTTTATAGTAATTCCTAAATAAGCCTTTTAATTTATAGCTATTTAAGTATTTAAATTAATAGAAAAAGTATTATTTAATAACTCTTTCTTTATAAGATTACTATTATTATTATATCTTAAAGCAAGCTTATTTATAAGTACTTTAAAATATAAAGGTAGTATTTCATTATATAAAGATTAATTATATATTAATATAAGTAATTTTAAATAAAACCTACTAGTTTAAATATTAAAATAGTTTTATAAAACTTAAAGTAATAATTACTTTAAAAGAAATATTATTATTAACTATAAAGTCTAATAATAATCTTTTAAAGTAAACTATAATAAAGCCTTTACTAGTTTAATTAGTATCTTTACTAAATAATTTAATAATAAATATTTAATTAGAGTTTTAAAAAATAACTATAAAAATTATTAGTTATTATTTTATAATTAATATTAATTATTTATAAAGTTTTTTATACTTTAATATAGCGTCTATATTAATTGACTTATATATAGTAAAGTAATAAACTTTATAATTACTTATTAATTAGTTAATTTATTAATTTTTGAATTATTTATTATAATTATATTAATAATATATATTACTTATATATATTTCTTAAAGAGGCATTAAATAGTAACTATTCGATAATTATTAATATTTTCCGAATTGGCTTTAGAAGAGTCTAAAGTCTTTTTTATTAAGCCAAGCTTAAAAATAAGAAGTTATTTTAAAATTAGTTCTAGTTCAATATCCTTTTTATTTTGGAGGATATTAAGGTTAATAGTAGATTATTAAGACATTTTCGAATATATCAAGTAATAATAAGTAAGTTTATAATTAAAAGCTTCTTAATTAGAGCTATAGTTATTAAGATATTTATATATAAAGTAAAGAGAGAAGAAAATAACTTGAGAAAAATTACTTATTTATATATAAATTCTCTAAAATCTAGAAGATTCTTTAATAAGCATCTAATTAGCTATAATCCCCTAATTATAAAGCATCTATTTATAAGAGGGCTGATTTCTAGGGTGGCAAGGAATTACTAGAATATCGAGTAGGTTCTAGTGCCTTCGGCTCGTACCGCTTCGCTTACCAAGCGGTATATTATCCGATTTAGTAAGAAGCGCCTAAAGCGATACCGAATACGGCTAGCCCAAACCTTATTTCAGCCTCATCTCGGCTTCCGAAGCTCTGGAGTCATGTATTTAGTCACGTAATAAATCTAATTAATTATCTTTAATTATCTTTAATTATCTTTAATTATCTTTAATTATCTTAATTATCTTTAATTATCTTTAATTATCTTTAATTATAATTAAGTATAATTTAATTAGCTTGATTTTGACTTGATTTAATTTGAGTAGGGGGGTCTAATTAACTCAAACCTAATTATTTAATATACTTGATATACTAATATTTAAGTCTTAGAATTTGAGGGTATTCCCAGCTAGTTTAGATATTAAGAATGGGGTTATACCAGATAATTTCGGAGAGTTATATATTATTTATAACTAGCTACAAATTAGTTTAAAATACCAATAGCTAATTACTAGTAACTACCCTTGGCTGCTCCCAAAACCCATTCATTTCAGGCAAACTATTATGGCCTGGACAAGCTATAGGGGTAGAAATAGATATATATTAGTATATTTATAATAAATAATAGTGCCCTAAGGGCGGTAAAGAAGCTATATATATGCCTATATACAGCACGTAATATGCCCCCCTTAAAAAGAAGAAAATGTCCCCGTTTAAGCCTAGCCCATACTCTTAACTAGCTCCTCAACTCTCTTTTCCTCCTGTTTAACAAAATTCTAATACTACAGATTCGCCGGGCTAGGGCCGCTACTACTAGGGCCGCTAAGATTACTCTACTCTGGTTCGGCCTAGTAAGCCCTAGCCTTATAAGGCTTGCAAGAGTAGTTTTCTAGAGCTAGGAAATCCTTAGAAGCCGAATTAAGAGGTAGAACGGTACCGGTAGAGGGGTCAGAAAAATTAGAAAGAAGATTTTGATTTTATCTTGGCCAAAGGGCTTAATAGGCCATATCTAGCCAGAGGCTCCATTTTCCGTTAATAATAATCAAGAACTAGCCAAGGGTAATTGTCTCTATTAGTTTATTAATATGGCTATATAAAGAAGTATTAAGGGAATTATAAATTAAGAGAAGAGTATTAAACTCAGACTCAAAACCAGAAGAACGGGCAAAGCAAAGTATCTCTTATATATATATATAGATAGTCTTACTAGAGCAAATATTATAAAAAGTAAATTAAGAGGAGATTAGGATATATAAGGTAATACCAGGATATTTCTTAAATCGTAAAATAAGAGAAGTATAAAGCTTAGAGACCAGAGGGGATAAGAGAAGACGATATTCTAGGGCTATAAGTTCTATTAAGTACCAAAAGAGAGCGGTACTATAAAGGCAAAAAGGGAAGGCCATATAAATATTATTATACTAAGTCTCTGCCAAATACAAGAGTATATCCGTAAATATAAATATATCCGTATAAATTACCGTCTTTTCTATTATATCCGTATTCTCTGGATCAAAATAACTAATATCTGCGGTATGCAAGCGGGAGGAGGAAGAAGGGTTCAATTTTAGTAAGGGACGAGCAGGAGGGGTAGCAGGAGCCGGGGTCTCTTGCAAGTTCATTTATTAAAGGAGGTATGCAATCTATTATAATTCGGTATCGTTAAAGCCATCCTTTCAATGAAATCGCTAAGGGGTCTGCGTTAAAAGAGAAGCAGAGGGTCGTTGTTCTTCGTCTTCTTCTTCTTTGTCTTCGTCGGCGGAGGCAGAGGCATGCCTGGTGAGGGCTTTGCCCTTTTGAGGGTTTTTGGGGGCCATTCTGGAGGATGGCATATATGTGGGTCGAGAACTCAATTAAGAGCTCGTAACAAAGTATTGATATGGAGGTCGACCTTAGGGCACTGCTACCATGTCACGGCCTGGACAAGCTGTGGGGGTGGAAATGGGTGTATATTGGTATGTTTGTAATGAATGATGGTGCCCTAAGGGCGGTGAAGAAGCTATATGTATGCCTGTACGCAGCACGTGACACAAACGATCTCTCTTCCCAAGTCAAATATGAAACTCATAAACTGCTTAATACTTCAATTTGGCAGCTAGTTCGATGGTGCACGTCAGCACTATGCAGCAGCAGCAGCAATATATGTAGCCGCGGCTTGAGCTTCTGCGGAACAGCAAACGCCCAACTCAAAAATAGCCCTGATACACGTTCCACATCTTTTGCAGCACCCACGTCGCTCAAGGTCACGGGTAGGCTATTGACCAGGAGTCAGTTCGTTCGCACTTGGGCCCTCTATATCAAGATATAAAGAATTTTATGGGGCGGGAACTTACATGGATAGTGACGTTCGTCTGCAATTGCATCACAGCATCCATGAAGCCAACCGTGGAGTCATAAGCGGCATCGTCAGAAATACCAGGGTGTGCGAGCTTGATCTTAGCCATAGTGTCACTGAATGACGAGGTCTGTGGTATGGCAGACGCAGTGGCAGTAGCTACAGCTAAAGCAAAGGTAGCGAAGATTTGAGAGAATTGCATGGTGGTAAAATAGGATTTGAAAAAGAAGTTGAACAAAATTGATTGTTATAGATACTGAAAAGGGAGAAAGTCGAGGAAAGTTGATGAATAACAGAGATAATGATGTTATATTGTGGTAGATGCAGATAGAGAGTTAATTGAACGGGACATCGCGATATTTATATATACAACTCTACTTCTTCTTGACAGATATTCATCCTTTACGAACTTCGTGACAGATGACAATCTTTTCTGAAGCCAACTGTGGATCAGATCCTTCACTCCAACAAAGGGAACTAAGATTCTCCCATCTTAGAAGTTCCCACTCATGCTGATGCTCAAAGGAATTGTTCCATGCCGTGGCGCAGGATGACTATTTGTTGAAATTAGGCTGCGCACTGGGTTCGGTTTTGGGTCGAAAAATTAACTCCAATCAATTTTATCTCTCGCAACAATTATCTAAATTTAATACCACTTTTTTATAATATATCTTACTCTATTTTCGTGTTTTATAAAAGTAATAAAACATTTCCTACCATTGTAAGGCAAGACGCACGGCCAAATTCTAACCCGTGGGTGACAAAGTGCACAGCCTAGCGCAGATACGAGGGAATAGCAACCCAACACGTCCAACAGGCGGCTCATGATTCCTTAGACCGTTGATAAGACCTTTCGCGGCAATAAGAACTTTTCGTAAGAGTCCAGATTTGTGGATGAAACATGCTTTAGATTGATTTATTAATACGGAGAACCTGGCATACAGTGACGGGATTACAACGCCTGGGGGCCTAATTGCGCTATAAGATGATATTTTAGGGGGCAGAAGCCCTGTATTTATAGGTTATATGCCCTAAAATAGCCTGTAGGATGACACTAGGTGTGCTTGCACCTCTTTAAAATCAATGCGCTGTATTTACAGGGGGTTTTTTTTGCGAGAGTCACACTGCTGGCAGAGCAACTCTACCCTTGTGAATAGCAGTTATAGGTCAATCAAGCGATAAAAGCCCTGTAATTATAGCGTATTGACAGAGGTGTAGCACCCCTAGTAAAAAGGTTACAGGCTGTTTTAGGGTACATAGCCTAGAAATAAAAGGATTTTTAGCGTCTTTCAGCGTCTTTGGAGATGTGGATAGGCTTCGATAGAGGATTCATAGTAGAGTATGCCCTGTAACCCCGTCACTTTATGCCAGGTTCTCCGTAGTGTTGGAAAACATGCTCACTATTTTTAGTTATGATGTAAAGCCAACCGCCAACCGCCAACCAACATGCCCCAGTCGTCCTGTGGACACGTTCTATGTTGGATTTAGTAGATCAATTCTGCGTCAGGATAGTGGACAGATTCTTTGATAATTAATTCTAAATTTATTTCGGCTTATTTTTGCATCTTTTACGTTGAAGATCTCTCTAACCCTGTAAGAATACAAGTAGTGCTAAATGCACGCGAAGAAATTGAAATTTGTGATTCATATAACTTTTCAAATAATTTTTAACTTTGTTTTGCTAGATATTTTAATTCATATTGAATAAAACAAAATTTTCGAGGTTTTGCAATTACAAGTAAAATTAGGAAAAGGATGATATATGTCATTTAATACAAAAAAGTATTGGTTTCACATGTTGTATAATGTATATAATGATCCTAATCTAATAAAAGAAACCCAACCCAAAAGCTGTAACGACTGACTATTTGCTCTCGTGAGCGACAATAATCCTGGATAGAAAACCCAAAAATCAGTAACGAATGACTATCTGTCTCTGTCTGTAATATGCCACATGCCGAACAATGCTCATCGCGCCGCTATATATGACCTAGTTGATCACACAAATAAACGTCCTTATGTGCCCTTTGAGCTACACTGCATCTCACTGAAAGCCTGTTGAGCGGCCGAATCATTGGGGATCTTTGGGACATGACAGGATTTGAAACAGCGAATCCCCAAACAAAGCCCTTGGCAGCTTTCTCTGGACCATGAAGGTCCGGCTTGCTCACACACGTGATTGGTGTTGCAAAGGTTGCAAGATTCCCTTGCAACAAGCTTGCTCATGACAGCAATCTCATTCTCTGAAACAGCATCATCCGGCGATCGGCGGGAAATAGTCTGGAACTCGGGGTGAGAAGAGATGGCTCGCAGCATCAAAGATGTGGCGTTATTCCCGGCCAATTCCGTTGCCAGGCCGTTGTCACGCTGAATGATATCAGCAATCAAGTTAGCGTGCCATGTTGTGTCGCGAACTTCGAGGATTTGTCCGGAGGTAATGGGAGTTGCTGCCGTGAAGCTTAGGAGGATGGGTGCTGACAGGAAGAGAGTCTTGAAAAACAACATGTTGATATTTGAAGGATTTTAGGCTTGATGTGACGAGAATTTGAAATTGAATAATGATCGAAAGTGGATAAAGTAATATATGGAGTCTTGGGCGATTTGTATATAGCGGAGATGGAGATAAGTTGTTGATGTAGATAAATGCGGACAAAGGGTCAAAGTCCTCATATATATATATATTATTTCTACAATATAATCCTTCTACTATAAATAACTCCACGGCTCAAAAGACATTGTGGCAATGTTTCATATCACAGGATTGTTAGAAGGGTACAGTAAGATATCAATTTGGATTATAGATAGTTCTGTCCTTTGGGACCTTGTGTTTCAAAGCATCAATACATCTGGGGGACGGATCCTCCGTGGCTTGGTGTTGACGTCGCGAGCGCGGCGCGTTGGAGGCGTGGTGTTGGAAGCGTACTGTAGGATTAAGCCCGTATACGTGGCGCAGCGCATCTATACAAGTCTTCCTCATGCTTAAGAGCGAATTTAACACGTATACGAGATCAAAATAGGTAATCAAAAATTAAATAAATAAGTTCCATCTGCCAGTTCAATTTACAACCAAAGCTCTTCATCTTCATTATTCTCCTTATCACAACTATCGCTACTTATATTACAAGACTTTCCTTCTTTCAAATCCACTATCCTCCTAGTTATCAACCACAATGCGTTTTACCAACGTCCTTGTAGCGCTAGGCAGTGTCGCCGGTGTTATTAGCACGTTCCAAGGTGTCAATGTCCGGTAAGATAGGCTCTTCCAAGACGACAACTCTTGGTATTCAAGAGACGTGAACTTGATGCTAATCTCCCTGTCTTTTGTTTAGTAACGGTATCGATGTCGTCGACGACAATGCCCATAATGCTACGGCGACAACCTTGGTCCCCGTGCAACTCAATGCCCGGGCTAAAACGCGCAACAAGAAGACTAGAAGGACTCTTGAAAAGTTTCAAAAGTCTAAGACAAACGACGCGTTCGAGCTGGATGAGAACCAGTGGGTCACGTCGGTGAAAGTCAAGTCTAAGGACAAGGTCTCCGCCGTACAATTGACCGGATGCACTGCCGTCTTTTTCTGGGATGTGAACAACATCCCCTCCGCCTGGCACATCTTCTGCGGCAACGAGGCGACAGATGGGAAATCTGCCGCCGAGGCCGAAGAAGACATGGGCCTTCATCCCGTCAGCGTCACCATCGTCGCCGAGAAACAGGGCAACTACGACGAACTCGAGAAAGCGATAAAGGCGGTGCTTCCAGATCTGGAAAACGCCTTCGAACCCATAATTTATAATATGAAAGACCTGAACGGAGATCAGGCGTTTCGATACGACGCCATAGCTGGAACTAAAGAAGTGACCCAGACAAAGGAAAAACGTATAAAAAAGCAGCCGCAGCGATTTTAAGGGCAATTTTTCACTGTATGAAGTGGAGTTGCTGATGCCAAACGAAGTTAGGAGTTGTAGCTTGGATGTAGAGGTCTCAGGGTGGAGGAGCAATCTGCGGACGATCTGATTATGAGTAAAGGACTGCTCTGGGATTTTTGATAGTAGTTTTGCAGGTTCTGCACGTTGATCTTTTGATAAATTTGTTGCGTTAGGCTCTGTTTGGTTCGCGAATGCGGGAAAGAGTGCGCCGCCAAAAAAGCTCGCACTACACTACACTCTTTAAAAATAGACATTCGAGCCATTAGAATGCTCATTCTTTCTCGCATTCAAGAGTGCACCACTAAAATAAATAGTGCGTGGAAATGCTATACTATAGGAAAAGTACATACTCTTTATATTTACGCTTTAGTGCATATGCCCTAACTCTCCAGTATATTACACCCTATTATATAGTGTATTATACTCTAATATTATAATATATTAATTTTTAAATTTTTAAAAAATAATACTATCGGTTCACCAGTAACGCGTACCATGACACGTAATATGCGTGGAATACTCAGTGCGTAAGTTGGTGAAGTGTTTATATTTAGAAGTAAGGATCGCAGTATCGTGGTATTAATATGCGATCCCTAAATCTGCTAAGCCTAATGGGGTCTAGTCTACCGGTCAAGTCACCCATGGGACGCGAGGTTACATGACCATGTTCCATTACCCATGTCCCATTACCCATGTCCCATTACCCATGTCCCGTATCCCGTATCCCGAGTCCCGTAACTACGCACGTGACTCCCGAAGGAACAGCTATACCAATACTAGAACCTCTCTAAAAACGCGAAAAACAGTGTTTCCCTCTAATCGCATGCTAATTTCCTAATCCGGCCTAGTGCCAGATTTTCCCAAACGCTCCGTGTGTCCATATATATCCTCCCATCCCATATTCCTATCCCATATGTCTATTTCCCGTCCTATTCGCATTTGACCCATTCCTTCACGTCCAATTATATTATGTTCGTATTAATTAGGCACTTAAGGGTATTCGATAGCTTCGATTTCGTTATAGAATTGGCAGGATTCAATTCTCCCTTAATTTATTTGACTTCTATAATCTCTCGTCATTTATATACCTGGCAGAGGCATATTACGTTAATTATTAAGCATTTCTCTCGAGTAGTACCTAATTTAACAAGGCATTCGTATAATGACTTTGAATCCGTATAGACTACTAGTAGTAGTTCTATTTCCAGTACTTTATTAATTATGGATTTGACTAAAGCGCCTATATTAAAGCCGTGAGCTATACTATAGAGTTCCAAAGCTAGAACACTTCTGGTAACTCTCTTGCATTTGGTAGAGGACTAGTAAATAATATTAGCGTGTCTAGTTCTATCTGCTAGAACTAGAATATATCCGATTTGAGAGAAGAGATCTCTATTATTTGTAAATAAAGTATCTATAGAAATAATTAAATATAAGAACTTCTTTACTAGCTTTATAAATCTTAGTTCTCTGGTAGTATTCTTAATTTGCTATTAAATACACTTATTAAGTACTCTTATATTAGTTTCCGAGGGTTTAATAGCTTGAGTAGTAATTAATAGGTTATATAAAGCTTCTGGTTAATAGACTAATATAATATATACTCTTCTAATATATTAGGTAATATATTAATCCTTAATAAAGAGATCTTAATAAATAGTACCCCTACTACTTATAGTAGTAGTATTCTTTATAGAAACGGTTCGGAGGTTTTTATACTAGTATTTCTATATAAGAGTAATTCTAGTAGTTCTAGTAGTATTTATATAAATAATACTTCTATTAAACTTGAGATTATAATTAAAAGTAAGGCATTTATATTCCTTAACTAAAAATTTAGTCTCTTGGAGCTTTAATTACTTTATTTTTATAAAATTATTAGTTCTAATAAATAAAGTATTATTAGTTTAAAAGCTAATAATTCTAAAGAGTAACTTGCTATAAAGAAGGCAAGAGTTATAAGTTAACTATTTTATAGAAAGTTTATTAATATAATAGGAATAATAAGTTTTGAACTAGTAGTTCCCAGCTTCCGATATATTATATAATAGTTTTATAATTTTTAGAACCGAATTATTATTTAGATTTAGCTTTCTAGTAAGCTTACAGGGGAAGTTAATATAGAAATTATAATTAAGTAATGTTATTAATTAGATATAAGCTTGTAAGATATCCTATAAGTATAGCTTTATAGTTCCTATAGTTATAGTAATAATATAGAGAATAATTCTCTGACTAATATATTAGATAATTAGTAATTATATTAATATTATATATTTCTTACTATTATTATAAGCTTGGATAACTAGTCTCGACTTCTTAAGCTCTATCTCTATATTCTTATTCTTAATCTTATTAATAAACCGGGAGTTAAAGATATATATCTTTTTTAGTATTTGAAATCTGGAAATAACTTCAAATATACCCTTTTCTAGAAGGCTAGCGGCTTTAACTTAACGGGAATTCTCGTATAGGTTATTATCTTATAAGAATACTATAATATCCGGGTTTTTATAAGAGTATTCTCTATTATACTTTAGTAAAATAGCAAGAATAGCAAGAGGAATTATATCTATATTACTTTTGGCTTTATTATAAAGTTCGGAAACAAGTTCAGGTTTAGAATTATTAGTAATAACCTTAATATCCCCTATATAAAAGGGCTTTATAGAGATTAAACAGAAGATAGTATTACTATATAATAAAGCTAGTATATAAGACTTTCTATTTATTACTATAAGCTTATATGGCCTATTCTAATTATTAGGTTAACTAATATTTCTTTTATATTATACGAGAATGTCCGAATTTAGGAGAAGTTTATAAATATTAGTAATACTATAACGATTTTAGGCATTTAGAGTATTTGCAATTTAATATCTAGCTTAAAGCTTTTGAATTTCTATTATTATTTTCTTAAATACTACTAATTACTATAATATAATTAGTAATAGGGTATTATATTTAGTTATTTAAGGTAAAGTACTATAAATTAAAAGAATTGAAATAATACTATCGAGTTTTATAGAGTTATTAATAGCTTTAAAAGCTATTTAAAATATGGTATTCTTATTAATTCTATTAATTTCGGCTATAATAATAAGATAAATATATTAAATCAGGCTATAATAGTATTCTATAATTCCGACGGAATTATAAGCTTTTATAGAAATGATTTTAATCTTAGTTCTTATAGTATTTATAAGCTAAGTAAACTATTTACTAGTAAACTGCTTTCTAGTATCTACTATAATCTAATTAGAAGGGCCTAAATAAGTATTAATCTAATATTATTTTAAGGTATTCTAAATATATAATATACTAATATTTTAAAGCTATTAGCTAGCTTAATATCAAGTGCCTTTATTAATAATATAAAGTATAGGCTTACCGGAAATATAGAAAATATTATTAATAATAAAGTAGTTAAAGCTAATATTATTTCTTAGATTAAATTTGAATTATTCCGGTAATTATCCGAATTTCTAGTATTACTTATAGTACTTTATAAGGTACTTAAGGGCTTCTATATTAATATTATAGCCTGCTTATTTTAGTATATTTCGGAGCTTACTAATAGATAAATAATTAAAATAATAGTATAGATATTATAATTCGATTTCTATAAGAAAGCAGGAATTATAAATAAAGAATTCGGAAATAAAGCTTTATAATATAATATTTCAAAACAGGAAAGAATATCTAAAACATTATATTATAGATATATAATATCTAGCAAAAGTAATAAAATAATTAGTAAGATTATTAAAATAGATCCCTAGCTTATTTATATTAGTTAAACTAAATAGAAATAGAGTTTTTATAGGTATAATATAGAATTATACTTGCCTAATTAGTGTTTTTACTATTACAAATCTAATAGAGAATATAGATCTAATACTAAACTAGATATTAATTTAGCCTTTAATAATTTTATTAAGTTTAATACTATTATTAGTCTGCTATAAAGCTTAGAATTAATTAGAACTAGTATTTAAGAATCTAAAGGCTCCGGTATTAATTATAATTTTATAGAAGTAGTAAATATTATATTTTAATATATTATTAATTATAAATATCTGAATATCTTCTATTTATTTAATAGGTTTTAAGATATAGTTTTCGCCTATTATCTGGTATATAAGAGAAAGGGAAATAAGGTTATTTATAAGAATATTAGTTATAGAAATAGTAAGAGTAAGAATAGTAGAAGTAATTAAGAAGCTCTTAATAGAAGTAAAGTAAGAATTTGAGTAATATTTTTCTCCTTTATCTATTTCTACTAGTAAAGCTTTAAAGGCATTATTCTCTAGCTTATTTTTACTATTTTTATTATTCTCTTTTCTTTTAATTCTAGTAATATACTATATATAGGTATTACTAAAGTATTTATTAAAATTACAAGAGTTTCGAGATCTAAATTAGTAGATATTTCTATTCTTAAATCGAGCTTTCTTAGCCTCTTATTTCTTTAATATATATTTCTAAAAGTAATATTCGGGTCTTTTATATATAAAATATAATTTCGGAATATAATTATTATAATAACGGGATTTGAAATAATTATTACAGGTTTCAAAATTATAGCTAGATTTATATTAATTATTTCCGGACAGATAATTACTTAAAGGGTTTTAAGAATAGTATTATTAATTAATAAAATAGGTTTTAGTATTAATTTATTATTTTTCTTATAAGTAATAATAGATAATTAAAGCCTATTAATAAGCTAGCCGAGTTTATTAAAAGAATTCGAAATTATATATTAGTATACTAATAAGCTTTAATAAGAGATAATAATTTTATTATATAAGAATTCGGTATTTTATAAAATAGAAATAATAATATATTTTAATTAATATAGGTTATTAATTAGTATTTAAATAAGCTAGAATATTATCTTTTTAAAAAATTTAATTATTATAGTTACTAAAGTAATAATATTATATTTATCTAAATTTTAATAATAAAAACCGGGGCTTTTAAACAAACTATAAATATTTATATAAGGCTTTTTATATATATATATTAAAAGAGCTAGTTATTATAAAAGTAGTCTTATATTAGTTCCTTTAATATAATAGAAAAAGCTTTTATTAGTATTTTTTCTAGAAGCTTTATATATTAGTAAATATTAAGAAAAATAATAAGTTTATAATTAAAACTATTATTAATTCTATTATGCTTTTATATTTTGAAATATATTTTTACTATTTCTCTAATAAGC